GTTGACCGCTATGCTATGAACCTGCTATGAACCCTCTATGAACCGTCATCAAATAAACCAGGATTGTAAGAGGAACACACACAGGTGCAACAAGTTGAACTGAAAAAAAGGTTTCAAGTTTTATTCCTTCCCAAGACTGAGTTTAAGAGTACAGTTTGACCAACTATTTTCAGGTTCAAAATGACTTCGAGCTGTTAAGAGGAGACATATCACGACTAGTTGGATTCAAAACTGACCCAAACTCATTTTTTTTGTTTCCAAATTAGTGCGTCTCTATTAAAGTCAGCACATACAGCCGCAAAGTGAAAGAAACAACAAAACGCCTTCAGATTTTTGTATAGGCAACACGCTCATCCACTGAGCACAAAAAGTTGCATCAAGGTGTTTTTATCAATTCGCGTAGTGTTTGCTCAAGGTCTGACAAATGCTAATTTCTTCTAAAGTACATGATCAGCGAGTATATGAGCAGATCGTTTCATGGAGGGCCCAAAAAGGCTGCCATCCTCATAACACAACACATTTCACTGCCATTTTTCAAATTCCAATATCAAGCGAAGATGACCAAGAATGTTCACTAATGAGTGTCTCTCAAAAAGTAAGAGTTTTATGCAAAAACTGTGTATAGTAAGTCAAAAAACTACCATGTATGTCAACTATGTATTGTAAGTCAAATAAATGTTTTTTTTTAAAAGACGGGTCGTAACAATGGGCCTGTTGCAAACTTTTGCTAGAGCAAAAATAAGAGTTGTTTCTTGTAGATAATGCCTCAAAAATCACGATGAGCGCATCGGCAAAGTCTGAAATGCACTCATAACTTCACAATCTGCGTAAGAAATTTGCGTTTTTTTAAGCTTCCCGCTTCAAAAACGATACTACGGCATAGGTGAACATTTTGTTAGAGGAGTCGCTCCATCGTCGGCGATATTCATCATGGCCGACGCATGCACGCAGTTCCGCGCGTAATTCAAGGAGAGTTCAAGGTCAATCAATTCGGGCGTGGAAAATATGAACGTTAACACACCGATTGTTATCTGGTCTAATCCAGTTCAGGTGTTATCTCGTCCCATCAAACGTGTTTTGGCGGATTGGCGTCGGCTATGATGATTATTGCCGACGATGGAACGACTCCTCTTACAAAATGTTCACCTGTGCCGTAGTATCGTTTTTGAAGCGGGAAGCTCAAAAAACCGCAAATTTCTTACGCAGATTGTGAAGTTATGAGTGCATTTCAGAGTTTGCCGATGCGCTCATCGTGATTTTTGAGGCATTATCTATAAAAAACAACTCTTAGTTTTGCTCTAGCAAAAGTTTGCAACAGGCCCATTATAATAATAAATCGTTCTAGAGAATTTGAGTCCATATGTTGGCTGCTCTCTTGGGCCCTAGCTTTATTCGCGGAGGCATCGATGAAGGCCTGATGGACTGCACACCTCAAGTGAGAGAGACGAAAAAACGCCTTCAGTTTTTTGTATAGGCCACACGCGTATCCAGAGAGCACGAATAGTTGCATTAAGGCGTTATTATCAATTGCGACGTGCTTGCTCAGGGTTTGACTAATGGTAGCTTGTTCCATTGCCAAATTATGATGTGTCAATCATACGTAGTAATTTTGTATTATCAATATTTTTAATTAAACCTTGGAAATAGAGAATAGGCGAATTTTGAAGGAGACTGTTATTCTGAATAACATATCAATAGAGACATTCCAATGCAAACTGCCTGAGCTGAACACTATTCCTCCCCCTTAGTTTCGTACTGGACGCATTAGAGTTCAAAAAAATTTAATTTTGACTCTAATTATAATTTTAGGAACTTCTTGGCTTTGTTTTCCCCGCGAAATGGTGTGGGCCCAGCACGATTTCTACACCTTGTTACGTACAGTTCGGGCTACTTCTTAGTGATTTTTTTTTCTCATATTGATAGAGAATTTTCAGGTGTCTGAAATTTGATGAATTTCATGTTTAAGTGGAAACCACCGAGTGAACTGAACGCGAGGATACCCTTGGTTCATGGATTGAACGATTATTGGAGAAGATATGAAAAAATGATTTGATCTGCTAAAATAAATGTGTTAAAATGGAAAATGCTGACAGATGACGTCACTAGGCGGTGAATTTCCTTACTTTTACACCTATTTTTACACTATTTCCTGTATCAGGAAAAAAGTATAAAAAATACTTTGAAATCAGCACTTTAAGCACTTCCAGATGGGACAAAAAACTTTTGCAGTAAAATATTGCATGCAAACATCTCCAATGGAGAATTTGCATATTTTAGTTTAGGTAAGGTGGAATTTATGCTTTCATTTGGTCACAGAGAAGATTTACCCAAAATACTGTGAAATCAGCTCTTTAAGCACTTTCAGATGAAGCAAAAAAAAAAAAAATGCATACAAATCCTCCATTAGACCAGAGTCCCTTTATACTGAGAGTCAAGACAACACCCCCTCATGGAATCACAAACGGGAATAAAGATTACAGAAATTGAACGTTTTTTGTAATCTTTGATCGGCCCATTCCCAAATTCCTCTCTCCGTTTTTTGGGCGCTTCTGGGTACCAGATGCGCCCTTTCCAGCCGTTCGACTCCCCCGATGTAACATGTACTATACTACATACCGTTTTGCCTTATGGGTAATGACGCCATTCTGGTACACCCGGGAAAATTTGATTTTCTTCTGCATCTGGTATTCGTAAAAGTTTTCGTGAAATGTTTTGCTTTTAAGCATAACAATCTCGCACGGACGTATTACCTGGTTAAACTATTTTGAGGCTTCGTTATGCTTAAATGCCTCATATTCGAGGTTGTAGTTTCAGATTGATTCGAAAAAATCACGAACAGTCACGTGATCTCTTCATTTTAGTGACGTATTACTGTGCTATTTTGTGATTGGTTCATTTTCTCGGCGCAGCATCGTCAAGCGTCAGCTGTTTGCGGCTCTGGGTTGAAGGTTTAAGGTTATGTCAGAGAGAATAGAAAGTTAGAGGCCCGACTCGATGCTAGGTAATTGAAACAGATGCGCTCGCAGCGCGCTCGCTGGCAACGTACGCAACTACTATTTTCTATTGTTTTCCAGAGACTAGCGGCGGGTATGTTGCTGCCGGACCACCTTCACGTAGGCAATTTGTTATACATCGTCCGTCCGCAATACTCTCGCTTGGCCGTATGAAAACGTTCCTCGCATGCGCAGTGTTAAAGAAGCGCCCTCCAACGCTTTGGCGTTGGAACTGCTTGTTTCTCATTCCGTTTGTTCCTTGCCGAACCCGTGATTCCCTGGTCCATTCCAGATTATAATCTTTGCAATCGGTGAAAATGGAATTTTTAGGTATTCCCGTTTGTGACACTGTGAAGGCCTAAAATACGGGAACCATCAGAAATTGATTCCCATTGTCTTGACTCTCAGTATAAAGCGACTCTACATTAGACTAACAAATTTCACCGGACTTCGGATTGCTATTCCCTCCTAGAGTCCCTTTATACCCAGAGTAAAGATAACTCACTTTTGGTTGGGCCAGGGTTAGGCTGAAAGTGGCCTAAAAAAAAACAAATTCTGATTGGTTCTCGCTCATGGAGGCCGAAACGAGTGCACCAAGATGGCGGTACCTCGAGTGTGAACAAGAATAATGAAAATATTACCTAATTGTGGTTTATCAAGAGTAAATTGTTATTTCCATCGGTCCAAAATGAAAATAGATTAAGCAATTATTCACAAACCAATCTCATTTTCTTTTTAACTTATCAATTTGTTGATGTTGTTGTTTTTGTGTGACAGACATCGCAGGATTCCTGATCCTTATCCCTCAATATCGTTTGTTTGGGTGCACTCGTTTCGGCCTCCATGGCCAGCCAAGGGCGGCAGCCAGTCAGCTGATAATCGAGTTGTCTTAACTTTGGTATAAAGGGACTCTATTCCCTCCACGGACGCTTCCCGGATAAATATGTCAACGGCAACGATGACCGTCGAAGGAGGAAGCGGACCCTGTCATTTGACGGGGCTAAAAATATGAAGCGCCTTCAATCATCGGGACGGCCAAGGGAGGGACAGGAGCCGATCCCCCGGATCATATGGCTGTATCTCTTCCGTCCAGCCGCGGCAAGACTGGAGCGCTGACCTGGCCCCCTCCTCCCCCCCCCGTTTGCTCTATTTTTACTCCGGAACCTCTACTCTTTTGACCTCTCCGTGAAGGACTTTGGCCTCTCGCCTCCTCGAAATTTCATAGCCGGCCCACCTGACTCGGTTATTTTCCACTCTTTTTTTCCCTGCTGAGTCGGATGCTCTCACGAGGGGTGAATAATAAATTTTTCATGTATTTTGCCGGCGACTGTCCAAGGAAAAGAAATCAGTGACAATACGCCGCACGGTGTGGCGATACAGGTTAAAGGTCGGACATGGGCGATTCCGGAATTGTGAATGTTTAGGACCGGAAATGTGTTCTACGAGTACCATATTATAAGGATTTCATGATAGTCTTTAAATTTTCATCCCCCATATTGATGGTAGAGGCCTCTAAAGTCCGCTAAGTCGGCAATCTAAAATTTCCTTTAAAAACGCACCAATATTTGTGCATTCTTTAGCCTAATCTAAAATTTAATGAGACCTTTTCCAATGATATAATCTTACTCTATGCAAGCTGCTGATTATTTTTCACTACTAATATGTAGCCTTGAATGGGTTTGCAGACAATTAGTGCCGTCTGAAAGTCCTCGCGCCAAAACTGCTGAAAGTAAACCTTTACATTAACTTTCGTTGCAAGTGCCAAAGGAGTGCCACGCTGAGACTTGTTGGGTCAGGCCCACAAGACCCCTGAGCAGCGTTCTGAACAATTTTTAGCTGCTAATATCTGCTACTCCGACGCGTCGTATCCCAGACCAATTCTGCTGTGGTAAGGAAAAACGCTGTATGAACCTTCAGGCGTTGCCAACTTGCTTTTCATAAAACGGAAATTTGTGCTAAGGACAATACGTAACGTAAAATACTAAGATATTTATTTTTCTGTTCCAGATAATGACAAACAGAGCTTCGAGCCATCTCGGTCTGGATCCATTGTAAGTATCCCTAAAACTTTACATGAAACTTTAATTAATTGAGGTACTTGAACTTAATAATCTGTGTTCTAGATGTTTGAGGTAAAGTATACACTAGATTTACGTTTGCTCCAGTTTTCCACATCGTTCAAATATTGTGCGCACGATCACCAAAAGTTAAAGGTGCGATCGACGGCACTAAAGTTTGAATTTTCGGAGTTTAAATCTCGTAAAATTCATCAGGATTAATTTGCTTTGAAAGACGTAAATTCGACTAAATGAGACGAAAGTTCTTTAAAAATCAGGAATTCATATCGATGGGTGTTTTAAGTGACTTTTTGATCATTTAGTTGATTTTGGAAATGTTTCACGTATTTGGCATGTTCCACATGAAAAATCGAGGGGGTTACTTCTATTTTGGTCTGTGAGACCCAATCTTGCCTTGCGATCCCTTGATACGAAATTCCATGAAAGATAAAATGGAGGTTACCTCAATTTCTGATCGTTTAAAGTCCCTCAGGACCAAGTGGTAGAATTTAGGATGATGCGGGAAATTTATGTATTGCCGTCTTCCTGAATAAAAAATTGCAGCTTTAAGATAAATATAGACCCGTCGAAGCTCGTCGAGCTTTCTCTTGATTGGATTCTAAACTTACCGATGCAACGTTGCCAAGAGGGCGAGCTATTTTCTCACCGCGGATTTTACGGTAGGGTAAAGAGGGTTATTCAAAATCGGCGATTTTACCCAACGCTTGGATTTTGCCCGGAGTTGGATATGTTGTTCCCTATCACAAGACACGCCTTTTTCCGGCATTGGCAAGTTCACCCGAAATTTTTCCCGCGCGCTACAGCGTTGCCAAGTTGAAAACAGGCACATTCCGTAAGTGGCATTAAAATTGAGCTATGAAGTTGCGGTTTTAACGAAAATTCTCTAAAAATTACGCACTTTTAGGATATGACCATGTTTTTAATGTCGCATTAATTTTAACATGCATTATTGCCAAATTTCCGATTTTTAAATTCGACAAATGCTACATATTCGCAAATACCCAAAAAAGCTATCTTCAAATTTGAATAAAAAGTTGTCTAATCGATAGTTCGTTCGATTTCGCATCCATCGATATATTATAGCTCGCTGGGAAATTTTGGTTCGCGAGATATCATCATTTTTGTGAACAGCTTTATGGAGCGACGACGCTTTTTGAGTCCGGGCGGATAGAAATTTTAGCCTCCAAAAACACCGGGTAGCATTAATTCCATGGTTTCCTATGTAATTTTTGGCGCTGAATCCGAATTTGACCATTTCATAAAAAAATTGTCACCAAGATGTTGCCAAATTTGGCAAAAATTGCTTAAAATCGGCCTTTTTGGCGGATTGTAGCCTGTGACTTGCCAGGAGTTGATCAGACGACAAAATTGGTTATTTCCACAGTTAAAACTCGTTAAACTATCTACAAGCTGAGTCAAATTCTTTCTGCTCACGGTAAAATTAAACGCGCGACAAGCAGCAAACTGAAAAAAAGACACCAAAATTGGCGCTTTTTGCGGTTTTTGTCGTAAGTTTCTTGTTTTCCGATTAAGAGAAAATTAGGAAAAATCCTAATTACGCCGAGTGTAACGACAAACTATTGTATTGTTACATATATAGATAAAGAGCCGCTTTAACAGCGGTCTCTCGGGCCCCGCGACGCCTAACCGCCATAGTCCCTTGTCCACCCACAGGTCCTCAGTAATTTAGAGCGCCCTTGTTCCTTTTTAAGCCCCTTATTGTCCTTTCCTGGGCGTCTTCTTCAGTTTGGTGTCGTTACTTTTTTCTATTAAACTCCATTATCTCAGAATTATAAAATAAAATTGTATTCTAAATATAGGGTAATGAATAATAACGGTCAAATACCGCCAAAATTCAACGATTTGTACGTAATTTTGGCAATATTGCAATGCGTCTTGTCTTGTTTTAATGAAGTCTGTCTGAGGAGTACATTTTATTCATTAATTTTTAACAGAAAATTTTCCATTATTGTTTCAAAATGTGGTTTATTGACACGATTCGATAAAACTCACTATTTTATGAATTTTTCCTCTCTGAACTAAATACCCTAGTTATTAGTATATATCTAAGTTGAAAATTAAATTATTCTACAGAAGTGTATTATTTTGCAAGAGAGATACATTTATAAAATTTAAAAATAAGAGGTGAACAAAGAATATAGGACAATAATATCGAAAAAACCAGCGAAAATTAAAGTATTTTGTTTAAGCTTGGCAACATTGGAATATGTTCGATCTTATTTTATTGTTCAATTTTATTAAATTCTGCTCATGTTGTTCATTAGTATAGTCAAGAAACATTCTCTTAATCGGAAAACAAGAAACTTACGACAAAAACCGCAAAAAGCGCCAATTTTGGTGTCTTTTTTTCAGTTTGCTGCTTGTCGCGCGTTTAATTTTACCGTGAGCAGAAAGAATTTGACTCAGCTTGTAGATAGTTTAACGAGTTTTAACTGTGGAAATAACCAATTTTGTCGTCTGATCAACTCCTGGCAAGTCACAGGCTACAATCCGCCAAAAAGGCCGATTTTAAGCAATTTTTGCCAAATTTGGCAACATCTTGGTGACAATTTTTTTATGAAATGGTCAAATTCGGATTCAGCGCCAAAAATTACATAGGAAACCATGGAATTAATGCTACCCGGTGTTTTTGGAGGCTAAAATTTCTATCCGCCCGGACTCAAAAAGCGTCGTCGCTCCATAAAGCTGTTCACAAAAATGATGATATCTCGCGAACCAAAATTTCCCAGCGAGCTATAATATATCGATGGATGCGAAATCGAACGAACTATCGATTAGACAACTTTTTATTCAAATTTGAAGATAGCTTTTTTGGGTATTTGCGAATATGTAGCATTTGTCGAATTTAAAAATCGGAAATTTGGCAATGATGCATGTTAAAATTAATGCGACATTAAAAACATGGTCATATCCTAAAAGTGCGTAATTTTTAGAGAATTTTCGTTAAAACCGCAACTTCATAGCTCAATTTTAATGCCACTTACGGAATGTGCCTGTTTTCAACTTGGCAACGCTGTAGCGCGCGGGAAAAATTTCGGGTGAACTTGCCAATGCCGGAAAAAGGCGTGTCTTGTGATAGGGAACAACATATCCAACTCCGGGCAAAATCCAAGCGTTGGGTAAAATCGCCGATTTTGAATAACCCTCAGTCAACGTCAAGAAGGGAAAAAGCACTCTAAACTTTTTTGTCTTTGTGATAGAAATATCACATCGTTGTAGCTTGACGAACTATCTCGACCATAGAAAAATTGAATAGGATGGAATTTGATCAATATGACATATCAATTTTCTTTCTTCCGTTGTTTCATACACAGCCGTCAGGTAAAAAAACGCCCTCAACTTTTTGTATAGGCCACTTGCGCGTCCATAGAGCTCGAATAGTTGTATCATGGCGTTATTATCAATTGTGCCGTGTTCGCTCTGCAGGTGAATAGTGGCGGCTTTTTTTATTTTTACATCACGATGTGTAAATGATATGCAATGCTGTTGTCTTCTCTCTACTGTTAATTAAACCCGATTTTTAATTAGACAGACACAGAGCAAACACGATGTAATTAATAGTAACGCCTTGATGCAAGTATGGTGCCCCTATTTTTTAAAAAACCAAACTTTAACTGTTTTCCTTAAAAATTGCCTTATATTTAATCCCAATGTTTAATTAAAAATATACAGAGGACAAAAGCACAACACATCATTTACAGATGGAACAGACTAGCATTAGTCAAACCTTAAGCAAACACGACGCAATTGATAATAACGCCTTTGACGCAACTATTCGTGCTTAATGGATACGCGTGTGGCCTATACAAAAACCTGAAGGCGTTTTGCTGTCTCTGACTTGGCGGTCACACAAATTGAAAGTACTGAATGCTCACAAAATATCATTCCGATGCTCCTCTTTAGGCAATATCCATTCAGGCTACTTATGAAAACCTATTCAAAATCTGCTTGTCTGTGAGATTTCCCAATGGTTTAATGAAAACTGTCAATATGGAAATGTAACAAGCCGCCATTAGTCTAGTCCAGAGCGAACACGACGCAATTAATAATAACACCTTGATGCAACTATTCGTGCTCTATAGATACGCGTATGGCCTATACAAAAAGTTGAAGGCGTTTTGTCGTGTCTTGGACTTGTTGCATGGCTATATGTACACCGCAAAACTACTAATAGCTGGTGATATATCACTCCGATGCTCCTCACAGGCACAATATCTATTCATGCTAGAGATGAATATTTGGCTGGGTTCATTTCTTTATCAGGTGAATACGTTAACTTGTTTTGCTTACTTTTTATTCTTCGGTCCTGATTTTTTGTATTTATAAGACGACAATGATCATTTCGGACCTTTTTGGTCCATCCTCAGGTCACACTTGGCACTCGAGAACTCATTATTATGTTTTGACAAGTTCGCGAGTTTGCGAGTGCCAAGTGTGACCTGAGGATGAACCTAAAAGGTCCGAAATGATCATCGTCATCTTATAAATAAAAAAAATCAGGACCGAAGAATAAAGAGTAAGCAAAACAAGCTAGAGATGAATACTTATTCGAATCTATCTGCTTATTCTTGGCTAATCTGTAAAATTCTTCAACGATTTTCTCTGGATGATGTCGAGAGGAAGGCTATGCCTTGAGGGGTGACGTGGCAGCCAGGACGGGGGGGGGGGGGCGTCTGAAAATTCAAGGACAGGAGGCGTCGCGACGGAGCGGAGTCCGACGCCGGACAGAGACGCGCTGGAATAATTGTCCGCTCAAGCGTCAAGCGTCAAACGACCGAAATCAATTTGCTTCGCTCAGACGGGGGTGGCTTAAGATCGCAGCCGCCATATCGTGCCGGAAACTGCGAGGGAGATCTTCTATGTGACCAAATGGAAGCATTAATTCTACCTCACCTAAACTAAAACATGCAAATTCTCCATTGGAGATGTTTGCATGCAAGGTTTTACTGCAG